TAAAGACCTAACAGTATAAAAGATTTTAAAATGCTATATAGGACTTATCATAAGTGTAAACTGAGCATTGGAAACACTTCATAAATTCCCAATGTGTGGGTTACAAATACCCAGAGTATCACCGCTTGATGCCCCCACAGGGAACCATCACTCTTGGCTTGTCCATTCCTGTTGGCAGGATACTTGTTAGCCCTGAGAGCTTCCTGTTTTAACTTAGCTCTGAATATTTGCAAGTTCCTCCCTGGGGCAGATTAAATTTTGTAGAAAATTTATTTTGATAATGTATGTATTCAAATAAAAGTTATCACTAGTTTGTTTGGCAAAGTTTCCCATGTAATAGCATATTAAATTGGCTTATTTAATTACAAAAACTTATTTTTCATGAGGATAGAACAAATCCTGCTGGTATTCCAGAGGCCAATTGAAATAACTCAAAGTTATTTCTCAGATTTTAAAGTTTAAACTTTGGGAAGATATTCAAATATACTTAAGCAAAAGATTATAACATAAACTTTTTTTCATTAAAATACACATTTTTGGTAGTACCATTAAAAGACATTAATTTTTTCTCAACTTTTTTCTTATTTTCTTTTTTAATTAATTTATTTTTTCAAATACATTTGTCTCTGCCTATCCCCCACCACTTTCTCTTGCCCTCTCCCTCCCTCCTTCCCTCAACTCTTCCCATTTGGTTATGTCCATGAGTCCTTGCTATATCTTCCTTGACTTTCCCCTTCCCTTCCTTTTCCCCCGCCCACCCCTCCCTTCATCCCTCTTGTCTCTGTTCGTGTGAGATGGTACCTCATGGTGGTTTTGATCTGCATTTCTCTGATGGCTAGTGATGCTGAGCATCCCTTCAAATGGCTCTGGGACCTCTGTATCTCCTCTTTGGAAAAGCATCTTCCCAGGTCCTTTGCCCATTTTTTGATTGGATTGTTTGTCTTCTTGGAGTGGAGTCAAGTGAGTTCTTTATACATTTTGGAGATCAAACCTCTATCTGATGTATCATTAGCGAGTATATTTTCCCATACAGTTGTCTCCCTTTTCACTTTGCTGATGTTTTAAAAGACACTAATTAAACTTAAAACCAGTTTTAAAATGAATAATTTTCCCAAACCACAGGATCCTGCTTAATTTATGTAATTGTTTATATCTTTAGGCCAATAAAATATTACACTCTAGTTATGCTATCTGAATGCAGAAAACAGCATGTGTAACACACATACATATTACATAAAGACCACACACATGATGACAGAACACTTAAAGACCATATACATAATTTGAATTACTGGTTTTTGTAAAGCCAATGAAAAGCCAAAAGCAGGTCTAGTGATCTATGTTTCAATAGTTCATGTTTTATTTAAAAATACGTAGATATTCAATATCTTTTATCAGAATTTACTAATTTACATGGGAATAGATTCTCAGATACAGCTAAGGTTTTCTCCCTTTTTATAAAAACTTATTTCCCCAAAATTTATATTTTAAAATACGTCCTAGATAAGAGTTCTTGAAGAAGACTGAGTATTTTCACTTCAAAAATACAGGGAAAGAAAAGCAAGCTTATTCTAGAAGAACTTTGATTTCATCAAACAAAGGGGAAGAGAATCACTTTAAAATGCTGCTCTTTTTATTTGCACTGAGAGGCAAACCCAATTTACTCCAGGATTTAGTAGCCCCCCGGTTTCCAGGAGGAGCATATAGACTGTTTTATAGTCTTGGAGGGAGTGAGATCTTCTCCCCTTTGTACCCTTGTTTTTACTTAATGTAGGAAAAGTGGAGCCAAATCTAATTCCACACAGAAGTTGAATGTAGGACTTGAGTTAGGCAGGTAAGAAATAGTGTCACTACTGATGGGTAATGTTGATTAAAATAGCATGTCCTTGAGAGATTGGAGTGGTGCTTGGCTGAAAACAAATATGGGAGTCGGGGGGGTAGAGTGTGGCAATTTGATAAAAAGGCATAATTAGGAGAAAAAAGGCTTGGAATCCCAGCTGAAGTTTAAAATTTTGTGTCTCCTCAGTAACTAAACCTAAGGAGGGGATCAAGACAGCAACAGTAAATATTGAGTTGGAGGATAGTATTATAGTTAAGAGATTCTTTCTTGGGCCAGACTCCTGGTCACCCAGTTTGTATTGAGGCCAGGCCATGTTGCAATAGAAAATCAAGTGCTTGGGCTTGAGGTCGGTAAGTCCTAGAGCCTTCAAGTTTTTAAGTGGACAATCCAATAGAATGTCCTTGGGCAAGGTCGATTGAGTATTGCACATGGTTAGAAGAAAAGGGAAGGGTACCTCAAGGACAAGAACAACAAAGGTAGGGAGGTGTAAGAGGGCTTCCCCAACTCAAAGGACATAGAAGTCTGTGCAAGAACTGAGCCTCTGTGAGACTGAGGGCAGACTGAACAGAAGGTTCTGCCTAAGAGCCAGGTGGCCCTGGGCTCCGGGGGCAGACCAAACCAGCACAAAGATGGTTGGGGTCTTCACTCCCAGACAGAAACCTGTGAAAAGTAAACCCAGTGCCAGCGTTTACAACAAGACTAGGGGAGAAGCTATCACTTTCAATGGGATGTTTGCATCCCAAGATTCAGAAATACTTATCAATCACTTGCCATAAAGATGGGTGAGGAGGAGGCTGTCTGCAGAATCCAGAAGATGGAAGATTATAATCCTCTCTCTGAACCTCACAGAGACAGGGTGAGGGGGTTGGGCTGAGTCTAGCTTTCACTATCCACTGTTACCCTAGTCACAAGTCTCAGGAGGCTGGAAGAGAGGGAGAAATAAATAATGTACCTGCATGGACCACCAAAATGTTAGGGTGGTCGATGAAGTGTAGAGAATAAAGTTTTTATTCACTATCTAAGAATGAAAAGGGGCATAGTGTGGAGAGATAAACCAGCATTGACGAGTGGGGGCTTTGAGCTCTTATGGGATCATAATTGGATTTTAAAAAAGGATGGAGGGCTAGCTGTTTCTTGGCCCCTCGGCTCTTAGAACATTGTAACAGGAGAAAGCAGTATTTTTTTTTTCCAATGTATCTTCAGCCTGCGACTGTAGGGAGTGGTTAGTTCTGTTCTTGTTTTCCAGTAATTTTCAGTCCTGGGGACAAACTCAGAAAAGTAGAATGGGAGTCATGTTTAATAAGGCCACAGGCCTGCACAGAAAATGGTGCCACAATAGCAAATGGCTCTGGCTGTGCCTTTTCAAGCTACCTTTAAAAACTTTGCTTAAAAAAGGAAATGGGTCTCTAGGAAGTTTATGGACTCCAAGCTGTGTAATGTCCTTCATGAACAAAACCAGGAACCCCCAGCCTAAACACTTGTGCTCTCTGAACCATCTGGGATCCCATAAGAATCAATAGACATAGTGGTCAGCAGGACTCAGTGGCTAAAAAAAAATCCCAGTTTCCTGGTGTGTGATTCAGAGAGGGTTTTTTGTGTGTAGATTATAAATTTCTGGGTTTTGAATATTTGTTCTTTTTGAAGTTTCTCATCTCTTCTGTTTGGGAGCTCTGTGGAATCTTGTCTAAATAGAAACTTTGGCTACAGTTGTTATCTGCTTGCTTTGTTATCTTTCAAAGGATTTGGCTTGCTCTTTGCTGTTCTATTCACACAGAGAATCCTCTCTTTTTGTCATCTGGACATTCTGCCCTGCAAAACTTGTGAAAGTCATTTGTATTAATGTCCCAGCCCTCTTTTCTACAGGATTTAGTTTACAGAACTCATATGTTTGGAGTTTATTTGTTCCTTAGTTGTTGTTGTTGTTTTCTATTTGGAAATGGTCCCCATCAGAGAGTCCATTAAGTCACATTTTTACCAGCTCTTCAGTTTAGAGCTGTAAGTCATGATTAATTAGACTTGTCTTTCCAAACGTCTGATAAATAGAATAAGATTCTTTGGTGCAAGCTTTCATGTTGTTACATCATAAGGATTCTACTCAGACAGGGTGTAAATGGATGGTTTAAATAGGTAGGTAAAGGTTTCATTCCCTTTCCAGATTGTAAACTTGGAAAGAATAAAAATGAGAAGATAAGTCTTTTAAACATTCTAAATCTTCATCCTGGAGGGTTGTGAGCTTTGGTTGTCCTGAGGAAAATGGGAAAATTAATGCAACCCCCCAAAATCTGTGCGGGTCCAAAAATAGCAGGGACAATAACCTAATCTCAATGGAAGAGAAATAATTGAACTTTTAACTCTCTACCCAGGCCTGATATCTCCTCCTCCTCTCCCTCAACCTCCTTAAGATATCAAGGATAAATGAAATAAAGAAAGTCTGGTTATCACTAATATTATTAATGATATTGTTCATAAGTATGGTAAAAAGAAAGCAATCTAAAATGTTCTTTTAAATATCATTTGGCTTGAAAAAACTGATATTAAGTAATTCATGTTATTTTTGTTATAGAATTTGTCAAAAATGGTTTGGGTAATAATTGGCTTTAAAATTTCATAATTGTTAAGAACTAATAAAAGGATGTATTTAAGTAAAGTAAAGCCAACATGAACAATCTCTAAACAGAGGTAATTAAAATAAAATGTCTTTAATAAAGCTTTTCTCAATATATATAGTTTTTTTTTTTTCCCAAAGTCTTAGGTGACTTGGAACTTTGGAGTTGTGCTTGTTTAAATGGTGAAACATTAAATATCTAAACAATTTGACATAACACATACTAAAATATTAATTTACCTGAGTTTGCCTACTTTGGCATAACGCAAAGAAGCTGGAAAGTAGATTTGGATCTGTTAACAAATATATCTTCTACTTTATTTGAAGCATGTCTCTTGAAAATGTGAATGTGCCAATAGGAAAAAAAAAAAACATTTCTAATACTTATGTAATCTTCATTAAAGCATACACCTAAAGAATGCAAATTATTTACATTAATTGTCACTAAATATCATGGTTTCTAAGAATTAAGAATTCTAATTAAGTTGGAAAGAAATTGTATGATTTGATAATAGAAGGTATAAGTGTGAAAACATTTGTTGAAGAAATAGAAGGGTGCTAGCTTTGTCAGCACATACACTGAAATTGTAATGATACATAGAAGATTACCAAGGTCCCTGCACAAGGATGGCATGCAAATTCATGAAGCATTCCGTATTTTTGAATTACAAAGAACTACAGGGAAGCTACAAGGACTTACTGTAAACTAGATCAGCATGAAAAAGGACATAGAAACTATTAATAGAAGCCAGGAGGAAATGGAGAATACAATTTCTGAATTGAAGGAGATAGTAGAAGAAAAGCAGGCTAGAAGAAGCAGAGGATAAAATCAACGAACTGGAAGAAAGGGTAGAAAAAATCACCAGAAAGAGTAAGAAAAAAATGTAAAAAAAATTAAGAGGGGTCACGGGAGCTGCAGGGCAACCTGAAATGTAATAACATCTGTATAATAAGGATACCGGAAGGAGAAGAAGAGGAGCAAGGGAAAGAAAACTTGCTTTAAAATGTAGTGACAGAAAACATCCCTAATTTATTGAGAGATAAAGTCACTTAAGTTAAGGAACCACAGAGGATCCAAAACGAGATGAACCCAAACAGGCCATGTCCAAGACACATCATAATTAAAATGGCAAAATTCAAAGACAAAGAGAACATATTAAAGGCCAAAAGAGAAACAGGGAGTACCATTCAAGGGAATTCTGATAAGACTAACAGGCAACTTCTCAATAGAAACATTATACTCCAGAAGGGAATGGCAAGAAATATTCCAAGTAATGAAAAGCAAAGGCCTGAAACCAAGACTACTCTATTCAGCAAATATCTAATTTAAAATGAAAGGTGAAATAAGAAGTTTTCCAGGCAAAAGAAGGCGAAAAATACATCTCTACTAAACCAGCATTGCAATACATGTGAAAGTGACTGCTATACGAAGATGAAGGAACAGAGTGAGACAGAGATGAACACAGTTGTAAATGGGAAAAATTGCAATGAATAAATACCTATTAGTAATAATTTCAAATGTAAATGGATTAAATGCTCCAATCCAAATACATAGCATTGCTGAAAGGACCAGAAAACATGATCCATACCGATGCTGCCAACAAAAGATCCATCCACCTGTGATAAAAGTCTTACACAGACTGAAAGTGAAGGGTTGAAAGAAAATACTCTAAGCAAATGGGCAGGAGAAAAAAAAAAGCCAATTTTGCAGTACTTGTATTGCACTAAATAGATTTCAAAACAAAAGCCATAAAAAGAGACAAAGAAAGGAACTTCATAATACTCAAAGTTAGGAGACATAAACGTTGTAAACATATATGCAACCCATATAGGAACACACAAATATATAAGGAAAATCTTGGAGGACTTCAAAAGAGATTTAAACAACACCACACTCATACTAGGGGATTTTAACACCCCGCTGTCAGCAATGGACAGATCTTCCAAACAAAGGATCAACATGGGTATTGTGGCATTGAATAACACACAATATGGATTTAATTGATATATACAGAACTTTTCACCCAACATAAGAAAATACACACTCTTTTCAAATGCACATGGGATATTTTCAAAGATAGATCACATGATAGGAAACAAAATAAGCCTCAAGACTCCAAGAAAAATGAAATCAAATCAACCATTTTCTCAGACCACAATGGTTTGAAACTAGGAACCAACTTAAAAAAAAAATACTTAGAAGCAGTCAAATTCATGCAGACTGAATAACAAGTTAAAAACAATGAATGGATAAACATTAGATCAAGGAGAAATCAAAAACTTTTTGGAAACAAGTGAAAATTATCACATAGCAGTCTCAAACCTATGGGACACAGTGAAGGCACTCCTAACAGGTAAGCTCATAGCAATTCAAGCCTAAATAGAAAAAAAAATCAAATAAACAACTTAACACTACACCTACAAGAACTGGAGCAGCAACAATAAACAAAGCCAGAACAAGCAGAAGGAAGGACTAATCAAGATCAAACAGAATTAAATGGCATATAGATTAGAAGAACAATTCAAAGGATCAGTAAATACAATAGATTGATCTTTGAAGAGATAAGCAAAATTAACAAGCCTTTAACCAATCAAAAAGAAGAGAGAGGACTCAAATAAATAAAAACAACAATGAAAGAGGAGAAATTACAACCGATACCACACACATACACAAAAGACAGAATCAAGATGGCAGAGGAATGAGTGGAAGTTACACTGACCTCCTCTCAGGACCAATTTGGAATTACAATTAAATTGTGGAGAAACCACTGGGAACAAACAACTGAACAATACTGAGAGAGGAGCCTTATTACCTCAGACAGGCAAAAGAATCAGATTTAGAACAACCTAACTAGTAAGGTGTGTGTTAGAGACTTGATAAGGTAGACAGGGGACCTATGGGCAGCAGGGCCAAAAGGTTATTGAAATGGCCAGTTGGATCATCCTGCAAAAAGTGGGGTGTAAACCATAAGCGGGGATCTCCAGCCTACAGCACCAGAGCCCTAAAAGTACGCAGATAATAGCCAGCTGCAAAAAGTGCCAGGGTTGCTCTCTGCCAAAGTCAGGCAGCTGGAGACACAAAGAGCAGTTTAAAGGATCAACACAAATTTTTATTTGCAACCACTTACCCTGGTCTCCAGCAAAGGTGGAGGCAGAGTGCACCAGAGATGCTGGAAGAGAGACTGGGGAAAGATGCTTTGGGGAGAGAACTGAGAGAGTAGCTGTCAGGATCCTAATGCTAACTCCTCCCTCAGATGGCAGCAACCATCTTGCTTAGGCAGACGACACCCTTGAGCAGCAGAAGTGTGAGAGGACCCAATAACCCCATCCCCAGGAGGGATTCTGCCCCCACCCTGTGGTGTATAAGCCAGACTTCTGAGTGCTGAGTGAAATACACTGTAGGAGAACCCTGGCTAAAAGGGGTGCAGAGTGGTCCAGAGACACTTGAGGAGAGACAGGAGACAAAGGTTTTGGGAAAAGAATGGAGAGAGTAGCTGGCAGGATCCTGGTGCTGACTCATCCCCTACATGTCAGAAGCCATCTGGCTCAGGCAGACCACCCCCCTGAGTGGTAACAGCAGGAGAGGACTCAATAACCCCTCCACCAGGAGGTACCCACCCTGAGCTGTGTAAGCTTGATTGCTGAGTGCAGAGTGATTGGATTAACAGCTGAGGGAGACAGCCAGAGACAGTAGATTTCAGGAAGTCTCAAAAAAAAAAAAAAAAGCCTAAAGTCAGAAGAGGTAAACGTCTTGCATCAATAGAGACAGATCCAGAAAGAAGAAGAAAAAACAAAAATGAAAACAAAACAGTGGTCTCCTCAAGTGGAAGAGAAAGGAGGAATCTCCAGAAATAGAACTAAATAAAAGAGAGGCAAGTAAACTATCAGATATTGAGTTCAAAGCAGTGGTACTAAGGAAACTCAATGAGCTCAGTGAGCTCAGAGATAATTGCAAAAAGCTACAGAGAAACCATGGGGAACTCACTGAAAAGTATATCAGCATGAAAAAGGACATGAAATGATCAATAAGACACAAGAGGAAATGAAGAATACAATTCTTGAATTTGAGAACATAGTAGAAAGAATCAAAAGCAGACTCAGTTAAACAGAGGATGAAATCAGCAAGCTGGAGGACAACGTAGTAAAAAGATCCCAGAAAGATTAATAAAATTTTTAAAAAAGACTCAAAAAGAATGAAGAGGAATTTAGAGAAATGCAGGATAAGCTGGAACATTATAATATCCATATAATAGGGATACCAGAAAGAGAAGAGGAGGAAGAAGGGATAGAGAATATGTCTGAAAAAGTAATGGTGGAAAACTTCCCTAATTGGAGGAGAGAAAAAGTCACACAAGTCCAGGAAGCACAGAGGGTCCCACTCAAAAGGAACCCAATGAGGCCCACTCCAAGACACATCATCATTAAAATGGCAAATATCACAGACAAACAGAGATTTCTAAAGGTAGCAAGGGAGAAAGAGGGACTAATATATAAGGGATCCCCGGTAAAGCTAGCAGCTTACTTCTTAACAGAAACATGACAAGTCAGATGGCAGCAGCAAGAAATATTCCAAGTCATGAAAAGCAAAGGCCTGCAACCAAGATTGCTCTATTCAGCAAAGCTCTCAATTAAAATGGAAGGTGAAATAAGGAGTTTCCAAGACAAAAGATGGCTAAAATTATCCTGAATAGCCTCAGCAATTTTGAGAAAGAACATAGTTGGAGAAGTCACAATACCTGATATCAAACTATGTTATGAAGCCACTGTATGAATGCCATCTGGTACTCGCATAAGAACAAAAACATAGATCAGTGGAACAGAAGAGAGAGCCCAGGAATTTTTGGTCAATTAATATTTGAAATTTGGAACAGGAGTGTAAATTCAGGGGGAAAAAAATAGCCTCTTCAAGAATCAGTGTTGAAAAACATGGGCAAAAATATGCAAAACAATGAAACTCACACACCAACTAACACCATACACAAAAATAAACTAAAGATGAATAAAAGACCATAAAAATCCCAGAGGAAAACATAAACAGGGGAATTTCATATATCCCACACAGCAATATTTTCCCCAATATGTCCCATAGAGCAAGAGATATAAAGGAAAAAATAAACAAGTGGGGCTACATCAAATTAAAAGCTCATGCATGGCTAAAGAAACCATCAACAAAATGGAAGGAGAACCAGCTGTGTTGTAAATACACATTTGCCAATGATAAATTGGACACTGGTTTGATCTCCAAAATATGTAAAGAACTCACATCGTTCCACACGAGGAAAAAAATGATCCAATTAAAAAAAATGGGCAAAGGGCCTGGATAGATATTTCTCCACGAAGGAAATATAGAGGACCCACTGTCACATGAAAGGATGCTCAGCATCACGAGCTATCAGAAAGATGCAAATTAAAACCACAATGAGATACCACTTCACACTGCTCAGAATAGCTATCATAATCAAGTCAACACAATGCCTATTCAGAGATTTAAAGTTATAACACAGCTTTCTCTGTATGATTGAATGTACCATCCCTCTGCTGCACCATGGTTTATTCTGTAAATTGCCTACCCAACTAACATTTTCTATTAAAAGAAACTTTGTCTCAGGTACCATTGGAACTTGTACTCTAACCCCAGATGTTTTAATTTGTTCAGGGGGAA